GCGCGCCAGGATTTACTCTCTAAAAGTTTACTTTTTGTCTTTTCTTTATTATTATTATTATTATTATTATTATTATTATTATTATTATTATTATTATTATTATTTTACCTTTTTAATATGATTTAACATTTAAGAAGAAATTTAAAAAGAAAATTCAATTAAAAAATAATTCTTTAAAAAAGCATTTTCTTAGAATTTAAAACAAAAATAATCTTGCTCTGCTTGCCATTGATCAGGAGACATGAGCCATTTATAACTTCAAAAATGTTTAAATTCAAAAATTTCTGTAAAAAAACATTTTGAAAATATATTTAAATATTAATCATAATTTATTTTCAGTTTGGGAAAAAATATATATTTTAAATATATTTTATTAAAATCTTCTTCAGACCTGGTGTAGTCCTGGTTAGCCATGGTTTAGTCCTGGTTCAGTCTTGGATTAGTTCTGGTTGAGTCCTGGTTTAGTTCTTGTTCAGACCTGGTTTAGTACAAGTTAGTCCTGGTTTAGTCTTGGTTCAGTCCTGGTTCAGTCCTGGTTTAGTCCTGATTCAGTCCTGGTTTAGTCTGAGTTTAGTCCTGCTTTAGTCCAGGTTGGTCCTTGTTCAATCTTGATTTTATCAGAGGCAGGCCAGTATAGGAGCGTTTCAGCACCACGGACAGCGGCTCTTACCTGTGTCTCTGCTCAGACAGCTCTGATCTGTTTAACATTTTATATTTTAACATTTTAAAATTTAGATTTTATTTTTTTCTGTCACAAATTTTTTTGTTTTAGATTCTTGAGATTTGAACATTTGAAAATGAATCTTTCACATTTTCACGTCTGAACACCCACAGCGATCCGTTGCATTTAGAATCAGGATTTCAAATATTTCTCAGTTTAATTATAAAAATGTAGTCATCAAAAATACAGTTTCCTTCAGAAAGATGCGTCCTCTCATGTCACTTTAATTTTTTAAATTTATTTATTCATTTTTTAAAGTCTTGAACAAAATTAATCATTGTCTGTGTAATTCCTCAGTTATCCAGGTAGGATCCATAGCAAAATAAAAATTAAACTGGACAGCTGAGTTGACAGAACTGAATTAATAATTATAGAAAAAAATAACTGTTGATGAGTTAAAGCTGCACTATGTAACTTTTCCACAGGAAGACATTTAACTCTTCATAAGTCCAAGTTACAAGTCACGTCTGTGGAAATGTGGCCACAGTCACAGTTAGAATGCATGTTTATCCAAGATATTTTTGAACAATAAAATCCTGTAATAAAATTATTGGAAGATAATTGACTTTAATCCCACACTGTGGAACCTCACGGGCAAAGCAAGAAATCCCCATGGAGACAAGCAGGTTGCTTATCCTCCATCAGAAAAGTTTAGATCTCAGCAGGAAATTTCCAAATGATCTCCAAAAAAACAGTGTTTAAATCTGAATTTTTTTTAGAAATTAAAATCTGAAATCATGACGACGTGAAAATCAGTCAGATGTGAGAGAAATGTGAAGAAATGAAATGAAAGCGCTTCAGTCTCATGTGAAAATAATAAGCACATAGTGATAAAATAATATGGGAAAACATTTTCATTAAAGTAGCAGACAAAAGTAATTTAATTTAATTTGAAAAGAGATTAGAAATGATAAATGTAAAAAGCATTAGGAGTGATTATTATATTAAACTACCACAGTGTCGTGTTTAAATCTATTCTCTTGATTTTTACGTGCCTATTTTTGTTTTCTTGTTGCTTTTAAACTGTGGAATTTCCCCATAGTGGACAAATAAAAGTTTGACACCTTTATTCTATTACTATTACTATTATTTTGAACTTTGAGCATGATTTAAAATATATACATATTTTCATTTCCTAATTTTTTGGACAGGAGCTCTCGGCCATGGCTCTGATGCAGACGTAGCTCATACGCTTTTATGTCAGAGAGAAATATAAAGACATTAAACATTAATATTAAATGAGATGTATTTTCAGAATTATTAGAACGATTCTTTCTTTTCTCTCAGTATTTAGTTTTACAGGAGTCAAAATCTATTCTGTTTTTTGTTGCTGCACAAATTTCAACAAAATCTTAAAATTAATTCAAAATGTTAATAAAATTTGTCAGAATTTGAAAATGTACTTTTTTTAGAGCCAATAAGATGATCATTTGGGGACGATAATGAAATTTGAACCAATATTTTTGAACGGAGTTGATAATTGTTTTAATATTTAAATTATCTACAATGTTACCCACAGATCTTTTTTAGCACATAGCTCGGCCAAAACCACATATCGGTCTTCAAAAAATTCAAAAAATTTAATTCAAAATATATTTAAATGTTTCTTGTAATTTAATCTCAATTTGGAAAAACTAAACAATTTTAAAAGTCCTGGTTTAGACCTGGTTTAGTGCTGGTTCAGACCTGGTTCAGACCTGGTTTAGACCTGGTTTAGACCTGGTTTTGTCCTGGTTTAGACCTGGTTTAGACCTGGTTTAGACCTGGTTTTGTCCTGGTTTAGACCTGGTTTAGTCCTGGTTCAGACCTGGTTTAGTCTTTTTTTAGACCTGGTTTTGTCCGGGTTTAGACCTGGTTTAGACCGATAGCTGATACACTAAAAACCACAAATATTAGCACAATATATTATTATTATTAGCATTATCTTTAGTTTAGACCCTCTTCTGCTCAAACCAGAAGAACGTAATGAAACGATTTAACAGAAAGATTTTTTTATATATATTTATTGTTTTGTCCATCAGTAACTCTCCACCACAAATGACTGTGGTTCAAAATGAAACCTGCTTTTCTCTTTTTCTCTTTTTTCTATTTGAATCTAATCTTTAATAATTTAAAATCTCAGAGCGCTCTTTTTTTCCCCTGAGTCTTAAAATAGACAGAATACGCTTGATTTTATTTAGAAGTGTAAAAGAAAGGGATGAGATGGAGAAGTGCACCTGTGGAGGAGCAGAGCAGAGGAGGAGGAGAGGAGCGAGGGACGAATAAATAGAAGCTTGTACAGTAGAATGGGGGGATGGAGGGATGAGACAGAGATGTGGTTTACGTGTGAGGTAAAACATTAGAGATGGAGGGATGAATGAAACGGGAGACTGTGGTGAGAAAAAAGAGAGAAAGAGGGATTTCAAAGTGTGGGCTCCCTCTTTAGCTAAATGCACAGATGATGGAGGGATGAGACGGAGGTGAGGTCCCTCTGTTAGACCGTATGGGAATGTGTATGTGTGTGATGTAGGAAGATGTTGGGATGAGATCGTTCAGTTTCAGGAAAGAGGGATGGAGACTGTGTTTAGATGTGTCAGTGATAGAGGGATGAGAAGAGAAGAGGAGGAGGAGTAGTTTCTCTTTTGAGTTTTAAGGCAGTGGTAGGGATGGAGAGATGAATGAAAGTGTATTAGGGGTGTGTGTGTGCGTGGAGGGGGATACGGATGGAGGGCTGGGACAGACGAGTGTGTGTGTTATAAAGACGGAGGGATGAATGAAGGTGTATTACGGGATGCAGTATAAAGATGGAGGGAGAGATTTAGTGTAAAGGAATGAGGGGTGAATGTGTGTGCGTTATAAAGATTGAGGGATGAGACAGACGAGTGTGTGTGTGTATGAATGGAGGGATTAGACAGAAGAGTGGTTTAGTGTAAGAGAATGGGCAGTGATAGAGGGATGAGTGTGGGGTGTGTGCGCGGAGGGGGGTAAAGATGGAGGGATGTGACAGACATGTGTATGTATGTGTGTGTGTGGAGGAGGGGGGTAAAGATGGAGTGATGAGACAGACGAGTGTGTAATTTCACTAATGCACTGAGCTCCGGTGGGACCAACACTTCTGGAACTCTGCCACAGCCTCCATTTAAAAAAAGAGGAGTGGGAGGGGGTAAAGAAAAGAGGAGGAGAGGGGGGTGAAGAAGGGGAAGGGGGGTAAGGAGGATGAGGAGATGGAGGAGAGAGAAGAAAAGAAAAGATGAGAGAGAGAGTGAGGAGCAAAGAAAGAGGGAGAAGGTGGAGGATTGTGTCCGGGAATCAAACAGGAGACCCTCTAGTTTAAAGGAATTTAAGGAAAGTGTGACGTCACAAAACCAGGTGTAAACCAGGATTAAATAAGGTCTAAACCAGGACTAAACCAGGACTAAACCAGGTCTAAACCAGGACTAAACCAGGTCTAAACCAGGTATAAATCAGGTCTTAACTAGGTCTAAACTAGGTCTGAATTAGGTCTAAAAAAAAGGTCTAAACCCAATCTAAACCAGGTCTAAACCAGGTCTAAACTAGGTCTAAAAAAGAAGTAAACCAAGTCTAAAGCAGGTCTAAACCAGATCTAAACCAGGACTAAACCAGGTCTAAATCAGGACTAAGCCAGGACTAAACTAGCTCTAAAATATATCTAAACCAGGTCTAAACTAGGTATAAATCAGGTCTTAATTAGGTCTAAAATAGGTCTGAACTAGGTCTAAAAAAGAAAGATCTAAACCCAATCTAAACCAGGTCTAAACTAGGTCTAAAAAAGAAATAAACCAAGTCTAAAGCAGGTCTAAACCAGATCTAAACCAGGACTAAACAAGGTCTAAACCAGGTCTAAACCAGGTCTAAACTAGGTATAAATCAGGTCTTAACTAGGTTTAAACTAGGTCTGAACTAGGTCTTAAAAAAAAAAAAAAGGTTTAAACCCAATCTAAACCAGGTCTAAACCAGGTCTAAACTAGGTCTAAACTAGGTCTAAAAAAGAAATAAACCAAGTCTAAAACAGGTCTAAACCAGATTTAAACCAGGACTAAATCAGGTCTAAGCCAGGTCTTAACTGGGTCTAAACCAGGACTAAAGCGGGACTAAAACGGGACTAAACTAAGTTACCTGGAGAACATACAAACTCCACACAGACACAGGTAGAACATGCAAACTCCACACAAAGACCCAGGGAGAACATACAAACTGCACACAGAAAGGCTCTGGAGCAGTTACAGTAGAACACTTTGTTATATAAAGTGTGTGCTCCTGTTTGTCTTCCTCAGGGACCATGTTGGTAGTGAAGATCTCTGCTGTCCTCATCACCTACGCTCTGCTCCTGTGCCACGCCCACCGCTCACAAGCCGCGCCCACAAGGTACTATATATGGGCATGACCATAAAGACGCTGCTCTGCTCTGTAACTAACTATTTGACCCTGGGGATTTTATGACTCTATTTTGTCCCTAAAATAGGATATGAACATTGATAACAATCAGGTTTGATCGACAGTGTTGCTCAGCCTGTACTGCTGCTTTGGTTGGGTTGTGGACGCTTAGGGAAGGGGCGTTATCTCCAACACCCTCTTTGGTTGCTACCTGCGATCAGACTTCAATGTATGGAACTGGTCTCTGGTCTCTGGTCTAAGGTCTTGTCTCTGGTCTAGTTCCAGGTCCAGTCTGGACTCGGTCTCCCTCTCGGACTTGGAGGTCAGAAGACTTTTGAACGCGATTCTTCGAGAGTTTGTCCAGATGAGTGCAGAGGAGGAGCAGGACACCACCAGGTGAGAGCGCTCTACCAAACACTAGACGGGGTACATGAACAAGTGAATGAATAAACGAGTGAGAGAGAGAGAGAGAGAGAGAGAGAGAGAGAGAGAGAGAGAGAGAGAGAGAGATGTGTTTACAACAATGAATCTAAAAGGTCCTCCACTGCACAAAAATGACCCATGAACTTTAAGTAATTTTGTTTCATTCACACATGTTTGAGTAACACTTTATTATTAGTCTGTCTGCAGCTCCAAAGATCAAAATGTTCTGTTCCATATCGTGATGTCATGAAGAGATGTTAACAGCTAACTTTTACCTTTATGTTCACTAGAGATTGGCAAATCCAGGGCTAATATTGGCCAAATGATTCTAGTGAGGGTCTATGGAGTTTAAAAACACAGTGGAGCACACAGTGGAAACAGGAGTGTTTCCTGTTTGAGAGAAGAACTTAATCTAAAGATGAGGATTTGTGTGTTATACATGTGTGTGTGAAACAAAACATCTAAGTTGGTGATTCAAAAAAAAAAAAAAAATAGGTCAGAAGAAAAATTTTAAGTTGATCTAAAAACACATTTCATCAACAGAGCTAAAATAGTCACATTCTTCTGAGAACATGTGAGGAGCAGGTCTGAGTGAGGTCTTTGAGGATTCACAATTTCACCTAAATAAAAGTTTAACTAGGAATAAACATGATATAAATAAAATATATCTCAAGTCCCCGCATGCATCTGTGCATCTGAGCATGAGGCATGAACTCTGAGATACAGCATGAACCTGTGAATGAAGGAGGGATGGAGTGATGGAGTGATAGCGGGATGAGAGACAGAGAGGATGAATAAGTGAACTATGGAGGGGTGACTGAGAGATGATAGAGAGATGAATAGATGGAGGGATGAGAGGTGGAGGAGGGCATGTTTGTGTTGAAGTTTGAAAAGCATGGTCTTAGTTCATGCATGTTTATCTGTGATGTTCTGACTCACAGCCTCTCAGATTCAGGACCAAGGCTTAGACTGGACTCAGACTGGACTCAGACTGGACTCAGACTGGACTCAGACTGGACTCAGATTGGATTGTGACTGGACTCAGATTGGACTGTGACTGGACTCAGACTAGACTAAGACCAGGACTCTCACTGGACTCAGACCTAGTTCAGGTTTTGGGTTTAAGAACAAATGAAAAAGAAAATTTTTAGTTTGTTGAGTCTGTGAGACCTGAGCTGCATGAAACGCCTCTGAACCAACCTCTGCATGTCTCCTACCTCCTACCTCCTCTTCCTATCTCCTATCTTCTGTCTCCTACCTCCAACTCCATATTCCCTATTTCCTATATCCTGTCTCCTACCTCCTTTTCCTGTCTCCTGTCTCATACATCCTATCACCTCCCCATCTCCTCCTTCTATCTCCTCCTTCCTCCTCCCCTTGTCTCCTCCTTTCATCTCCTACCTCCTACCTCCCCTTCTCCTGTCTCCTGTCTCCTTGTTCTCTGGAAGTCGAGAGCGCCCCCCTCTGTCTAAGCGCTGCTCTGGCCTCAGCACGTGTGTTCTGGGAAAACTGTCTCAGGATCTGCACAAACTCCAGACATTTCCTCGAACCAACGTGGGAGCAGGAACGCCGGGGAGAAAGAGGAGCACAGTGTCCAGTGTGTCCTATCAGAACCTGGAGAGAGAGAGAGAGGCGGAGCGCGGGGGGGCACTGTCAACACTGGGCCAAAGGTTCAGTCTGGACCAGGACTGAACACAAACTTTAAACAATAAACCTGCTCTAAACCCAGCCACACACTGCGGAAGAACCACCAGGAATCTGTTGAACTTTACCTGAAGGAGACAGGGAAGGATGGAAGGAGACATGAGGAGACTAGGATACATCTTAGGAAGCATTCTAGGATCCTCAGGAGATGTTGTGGTTTTTTTTTTTTTTTGCCTTGTCCTGTAGTTATACTGAGCCAGAATCTAACCCACAACCTCAGAGTCTATTGTTTTCTTTAAACAAAAACTACAGAACAACTTTGAAAAATATTATGAGGTGTTTGAGCCAACATTGTCCATTAAATTGACTTTTTCCACACATGTATGGACCAAAGTGGGACATCGTCTTTTGTCCAGTAGCACACTACAACATCTCCTCCTGGGTCAGTCTAAGTTTAACAGTCAAAGTACAGAAAGCTCCTTCCATCCTTCTTATCTGACCTAAGAGTGCTTGTTCTGCTCTGCATGTCTCCTATCTGATCTCCTCTCTCCTCCTCTCCTTTCTCTTTGTCTCCTCTTTCCTTGTCTCCTCTCTTCTAGTCTCCACTCTCCTCCTCTCTTCTCTTCTCGTCTCCTCTCTCTTTCTCTCCTCTCTCTGTCCGCATGGCCTGATCCTGGTTTAGTCCTGGTTTGATCTTGGTTTGATCCTGGTTTGATCCTGAGCCTGGTGCCTGACGTTTTTCACATTTTCTTGTCTTGAGTTTTCTCGTTTTCTTCCCTGTCATAGACACAGCTCTGGATCATAAAGTCAGATGTGATCACTCATTTTAATAAACATATTTTTCTACATCACAAACTCTCTGAGTAAGACCAGGACATGCTCTGCACACAAACTCCTGAACAAGAGTGGAACTAAACATCTGAGACGCAAATCAGGCCCAAAATATTTGAAAATAAGGCACATTGTTCAACTTCTCTTATGCTCACATTTGGGGTAGATTTAGTTTTAGTGAGAGAGCAGAAAAGAACCTAAAAACTGGAAAACTCAACATTTGTTAAAAAGACCACATGTAAACTATAATGAAGCCTAGAATAAATATTATTTTATTTTATTTATGTATTTTTAAGAATAGAAATGAAGAAGGAGTTTTAAACTTTAGATTCAGAACAATTAGAACAGTGTAGACAGTAGGAATGTGAGGAGCTGCTGCAGACGAAGCTCACACTGATCCTGAGGTAAGGTCAAAGGTCACACAGTGTGTGTTCATATACGTGTTTGTGTTTATATATGTGTATGTTCGTGTGTGTGTGTGTGTGTTTGTGTTTATATATGTGTATGTTCATATGTGTGTGTTTATGTTCATATATATGTGTGTGTGTGTGTGTGTGCTCACAGACACATTTGTGTGTGTGTTCATACATGTGTGTGTCACTGCTAGTGTCACTGCAGTTACTTAATTTAGAACACAAAACACTTTTTTTTTAAATCCACTCCATCAGGCTGTGATGAGCTCTTCCTGTATGAGGCACCTGCTTCATGCAGAGCGCCCCCTAGAGGAGGCCGTCGAAGTGACCTGGGTTAGAGCGCCCCCTAGAAGAGTCTCTGTAGCTGCTGCAGTAACCATGTCAAACTCATTATTTTATATATTCAATAAAAGTACTGCAACACTGAGGCTGTACTGCAGTAGTAGTGCTAGTAATAACAGTACCTTTTTGAAGTACTTCACAAAAGCATGTATGTAACATGACCACATGTGTCATGCATTGTCTTGTTTAGAGTTTAGTACAGCAGTAGCATTAGTGGTATTTGCAGTAGCAATAGTAGTAATAGTACTTATTGCAGTATTAGTGTTTAGTGTAGTAGCAGCAGTAGTAGTAATAGTAGTCCAGGTGTAGTAGTATGAGTACTTATAGCAGTACTTTTTGTGTAGTACTTTACAGAAGCGTGCTTGTAACACGGCCACATGTGTCACTCATCGTCTCGCTGACTTCCTGAGTCGTTCGGGGGGAATGGGAAACGCCCACTTTGTCCCGACCAATGTGGGAGCCAAGGCCTTCGGGAGGCGGAGACGGACCGTCCACTGACACGCCCACAGGAACAGACTCCACCCACAGCCATGCCCCACGACAGGTGACATTTCTCTCTCTCTGTCGCTCAATCTGTCCTCTACCTCCCCAGACACCTCCTCTTCTCCTCTCTCTCCTCTTCTCTCCTCTTTACCCTCTCCTCACCTCTGCTTTCTCTCTCTTTTCTGTCTCATGCAAACCCCTCTCCTCCCTCTCTTTTTCTAATCTCTCTCTCTCTCTCTGTCTGTTCTTTTCTTTCCTCTCCTCTTTTTCTTCAGTCTCTCATCCCCCTCTCTCTGTTCTCTCCCTCCTCTCCTCTTTTTCTTATGTCTCATCCATATGTGTCTGTTCTTTTCTTTCAGAGGTGAAGGAGTGACATGAAGTCCCCCTGACGCAGATCAAACTTTCAGAATAAGAGCCGGTCTCAGATCCAGGACTCATCCTTTCAAAATAAAAGCCTGAAGTTTCCAGTCAAAGCACTTTATGTTGAAAGAGAGAAAAGAGTTATTAATAAAGATTTTTATACCACTCAAACAACCACACTGTCTCTGGCTCCTGACTGGTCAATTTAAGGTTCTGTCCCCAAGAAACAAAAACTGTCGCAAAGCTCAACACTTAGGGTGATTAGAGTCAGTATAAATAAATAATTAAGCTAAACTAAGACTAAACTAGGACAAAACCAGGACTAAACCAGGACTGAACTAGGACTAAACCATGATTAGACCAGGTCTAGACCAGGTCTAAAGCAGGACTAAAACAGGACTAAAACAGGATCATACATTTTACTTTAACATTACTTTAACATGTGATTGGTTTATACAATGTGTCATCAGAAACCAGCTCAGAGGTCAAAGGTCACAGATATTAGTATACACATTCAGCTCTGTCAGGGAAATCTAAATAAATGCAGACTTAATTACAAAACTGAGAAGATACATTTATGAAGTTTAGAATGAGGTCATATTAAAGGACTTTGACCAGACCAGAACCAGGATTTGGACCAAACCAGAACCAGGACGTGGACCAGACGGATCACAATCAGCACTACATGTAAGTGCCTCAGAAGGGCCTGACGTCCCATTAATTACACCATTGCACTGACAATACAAAACTGATTTAATCTTGGTTTAGTCCTGTCCAGTCAAGGTTTAGTCCTGGTTTAGTTCTAGTTTAGTCCAGGTCCGGTCCTGGTTTGGTCCTGGTCTGGTCTTGGTCTGGTCCTAGTCTAATATTTTGCAGCTGTTTCACATTTTTCTCTCGTTTTTTTGGAACAAACGGAAAAAACTAAACCTCAGAAATGTTCCGAGTCCAGTTCCCAGAATCTAGACCACAAATGGACCCGTCAGACCCGAGACCCGACTAGAGACCAGATGCCTGATACCAGACCAGGACCAGACCAGGGACCAGGGCCAGACCCAATCCAGGACCAGTCCAAGATCCCAGAATCCAGAGCATAAATGGATTCATCAGACCCAAGACCGTAGATCTGGTACAAGTCTAGACCTGAGAGCCTCGAGAGTCCAAACCTGATGTGATTTAATTTAATGTAACATGAACCCTTACACTGATACACATGTTAAAGGAACAGTCCGGAATTTTGGTCATAGGACCTAATTTCCTAGTGAGCCAGAGTGTTGGAGACGTGTGGAGACACTTTTTGAAATATTCCATCCAGTCCTTGTATTTGCAGAGGTCGCTGGTGCTAGGCTAGTGCATGTCAATGGCCATAGTTAGCCTGCCACTAAAAACAGTCTTACCCACTTCACAAAACACCCGAAGCAAATCTATTATTACATCAGACTGTCTGTAAATGTCTGTGTTGATAGAATAATGTCTGAAATAAAACTAACCTTGCAGCACATAAATCATCGCATGTTGAGGGACTATTTTCTCATATATCAGTCCGCCACTGCCAAGCTTTCTGTCAGGAAGAACAACTCGCTGCTGCTGCTCAGACATAAATCCTTCAAATATGCAAGGTTGTTTTTACTTCTAAAATTATTCTGTCAACACAAACATCCACATCGACAGTCTGGTGTAATAATAGATTTACATTGGGTGCTTTGTGGAGTGGGTAAGACTGTTTTTAGTGGCAGGATAACTATGGACATTGACATGCACTAGCCTAACACCAGTGACCTCTGCAAATACAAGGCTTGGATGGAATTTTATTTATTTATTTTTTTAAGTGTCTCCACACATCTCCAACACTCTGGCTCACTAGGAAATGAGGTCCTATGTCCAAAATTCCAGACTGTCCCTTTAAATAAAGAGGTGGTATCCTGCAAATTCTACTCATTGGGGCTTTCTACCATCATAATCTAATCATCCAAAACATACCTGATGAGGTTTTAGATGTCATCCATGCATGTTTGAGTAATCTAGAGATCTCTCCTAGGCCCTATTTGAACCCTCCTTATGGTTAACAGCATGAGCCTGTACAAGTCTCCGCCCACAAGTCTATGTCACCCATACTCCCACACACATCACACACTTCAACAATGAAAGTGACACGAATAAAACGTTAAATGTTAATATGTTGTTTTGGGCAAATGGGGAACTAAATGTTAAGCGTTAGCAGTTAAAACCTCACAGAAGTAAAATATGACCGCTTTAATATAGTGTCTTTTTTTTTTTAAATAAATAAATAAAGAGCAGAGACCAAGTCCAGACCACAACTGGACCCCGTCAGACAGACCCTCGTCAGCACAAACTGGCGCCATCTTGGAACCAGAGTGATTTGTTGAAAGTTGAAATATTCTGTGAAAAGACCAAAGACACAACCAGGATTAAACCAGAACTGAACCAGGACTGAACCAGGGTTAAAGCAAACTAAACCAGGACTAAACCAGGACTGACCCAGGGCCAAACCAGGATTAAACCAGAACTCAAACAGGAATGAACCAGGTCTAAAGCAAACTAAACCAGGACTAAACCAGAACTGAACCAGGGCTAAACCAGGACTGAACCAAGACTGAACCAGGGCCAAACCAGGATTAAACCAGGACTGAACCAGGGCTAAACCAGGACTGAACCAAGACTGAACCAGGGCTAAACCAGGACTAAACCAGGACTGAACCAAGACTGAACCAGGGCTAAACCAGGACTGAACCAAGACTGAACCAGGGCTAAACCAGGACTAAACCAGGACTGAACCAGGACTAGAAGGAGTAAATTAGGACTGAACCAGGACTAAAGCAAACTAAACCTGGACCTAACCAGGACTAAACCAGGACTGAACCAGGACTGAACCAGGACTAAAGCAGACTAAACCAGGACTATACCAGGACTAAAGCAGACTAATTCAGGAATAAATCAGACTAAACCAGGACTAAACTAGACTAAACCAGGACTAAACCAGGACTGAGCCAGGACTAAATCAGGGCTAAAGCAGACTAAACCAGGACTAAACCAAGACTAAAGCAAATTAAACCAGGACTATACCAGAACTTAACTAGACTAAACCAGGACTAAACCAAGACTAAAGCAAACTAATTCAGGACTAAATCATTCTAAACCAGGACTAAACCATGACTAAACTAGACTAAACCAGACCATACCAGGACTAAAGCAGACTAATTCATGAATAAGCCAGACTAAACTAGGACTAAACCAGACGAAAACAGGATTAAAGCAAACTAAACCAGGACTATACCAGGACCAAACCAGACTAAACCAGGACTATAGCAGGACCGAACCTGGACAAAACCACAACAAAACCAGGACTAAACTGGCACTGAACCAGGAATAAACCAGAACTGAAACAGGTTTTAACCAGGACTAGACCAGGACTAGACCCAAACTAAACCAGGACTGAACCAGGTCTGAACTAGGACCGAACACGGACCTGGAACCAACAACTTTGTGCACAGACCCACAATTTGAGAGCAGCTGGCTCCTCCTGAGGATCCTGGCTCAGATCTGGACTTGTGCAGAAACACTAATGTATTTTTCCGAGTGTTTGTGAAAATCCGGAATATTGGTTTAAGGAAGTCCAACGAGAAGAGCAGGAAATGAAATGTTTGTATTTTAACTCGAGAAACACCAAGAGTTACACACAAGCCACAGAAACAGACAGGAGCAGACAGGAGTAGACAGGAGTAGATCCAGAGGAACAGACAGGAGCAGACAGGAGTAGACAGGAGTAGATCCAGAGGAACAGACAGGAGCAGACAGGAGTAGACAGGAGTAGATCCAGAGGAACAGACAGGAGCAGACAGGAGTAGACAGGAGTAGATCCAGAGGAACAGACAGGAGCAGACAGGAGCAGTTAGGAGCAGTAGTTGGTGTTTTTATTTGAGGTTGAAATCTGACCCTTTCTCTCCTCTGTGTGTCTCAGTCTTTTTCGGCCTTTTTCTCTCTTTCCTTTCCTCCTCTCCACTCCTCTCTCTCCTCTCTCTCCCTCCTCTGTTGTTTCTGTGATTCTGTCTTCCTCTTTCTCTCCTCTCTTCTCCCTTTCTCTCTCTCCTCCTCTCCTCTTCTGTCGTTCAAGTGACTTGATCTCCCTCTCTTGCTTCTCTCTCTTCTCTCTCTCCCAGTCTCTCTTTCCCTCCTCTCTCCTACCTTTCTTTCCTCTCTCTCTTTCTCTCTCCTCCCAGCTTTCTTCTCTCTCTTCTGTCTCTCTCTCCTCTCTTTCTCTCTCCTCCCTCCTCACTCTCTCTCTCTCTCTCCTCTCCTCTTCTCCTTTTCTGTCGTTCCTGTGGTTTGTGGTCAGGTTAGACTCAGTTCCACATCTGTTTCTCTTTCTCTCTTTTTCCTTCTCTTTTTTCCTTTCTTTTAGTTTACTTTAGTTTCCCTTCTCTCTTTGAGAGCGTGAGGTTCAGATATAAGTGTGTAAAAGCAGAAACAGGACTGAACCAGGACAACACAAGGTCTAAACCTGGACTGAATCAGGCCTAAACCAGGACTAAACAAGGACTAAACCAGGACTAAACTAGGACTGAATCAGGTCTAAATCAGGACTAAACAAGGACTAAACCAGGACTAAACAAGGACTAAACTAGGACTGAATCAGGTCT